GACTAGGTGATAGCCTTGTCTAGGAACCGAGAAGCCCCAACTTCTATAAGTAGGGGTAGTTCACTCTCTTTCTCTGAAACTCTATCTCTGCCTAATATTTTTATAATCAACGAGCGTAGCGAGTTATAAGTGCTTTTATATTAATTCCTTAATACCCATTCCTCACCTGCAACTGTTGAGCAACAGTTTGATTTTCTAGGGCTTCCTCTAATAACTGAGGCAAACCATTCCTTTCTTCTTCCGTAGTATGTTCTTCAAAAGCAGTTTGTAAAGTCTTTCGCACTCAATTATTAGATAATCTATTTATTTCTGCTTCTCATTCTGGTTCTACTCCGTGTAATAAGCGGTTCATGGCAATATAACAACGGGCTAAAACCTTTTGAGACATCTTTTCTAAGGCATATACTCCTTCTGTGCTTTCAAAAGCAGAAGTAGGATAATCTTCATAATTTTCATCTAAATGTCTTCAACCATGGAATTTTTTACCCATGATTTTATGATATTGAGGATTGCCCCGTTGACTAAAATCATAATTTTCTATTCAGTCATCTAAGTCCGAAATATCTACTAATCGGTAAGCATCTGGTAATAGATGTCGGAATTTATCATTTGGTTCATTATAGCGTTCCGGAATATTTTTCAACTCGGCTCATCAATTTATTAATTCTTCTTTTGTATGTGGCCTATCGGCATTTATTATTGGTTCGTTTCACATGATATTTATATTTATTGAATTAATTTTTAATATTTTTTCGTATGTATTGCAATTATGTAAAACAACATAAAGAGAGAGAGAGAGAGAGAGAGAGAGAGACAAACTTCCTCTCCTCGCCCAAACTCAACATGTTTTTCGTCCGTCTTATTTGATAATCTTTTTAATCTCTTTACATATAATTTAATTTTATACATATAAATAGTGCTTTCGAAACCTCAATTAATCTCTATCTTGGAAAAAAATCCAGGTCTAATTCAAAATAATCAAACCTTTCTTGGACTTTTCGGAAAAACAACTTTTTGGCCTTTTCCCACGAACTCCAATCAAAAAAAAA